TGACAATACTCATCATCATCATCATCATCATCATCATCATCATCATCATCATCATCATCATCATCATCATCATCATCATCATCATCATCATGACAATCATCATCATTGTCTCGTGCAGAGAGGGAGGAGGTGGTATGGGTGGTCCAGCGCGGTCGGAGAATAACAATAACCCCATCCTTTGGATATGGGGAACAAGAACCCCATCCTTTGGATATGGGGAATGGCAAGAACTCCATCCTTTGGATATGGGGAATTGTTCACTGCGTGGAGCTCCCCATATGTGTATCTATTTGCACGGACTGGGTGTGAGTGAGTACGATGAGTACGAGTCTGAGCACAAGTGAGTCTGGGACATCCTCGCAATCTGCCCCCCCCTGGGGTGCGAAAGCCAGTGAGTCTGAGTATGAGTATAGTGAGTACGAGTCAAGTCTGAATGGGTCTGAGTACGAGTGAGTTTGACTACGAGTGAATCTGAGGGTGGGTGGGTCTGAGTGTGAATGATTCTGAGCGTGAGTAAATCTGAATGTGAGTGCGTCTGAGTATGAGTATGATGGGTATGAAACTGGACCTGAGTGGGTCTGAGTACGAGTGAGTCTGACTACGAACGAGTCTGAGTGTGGGTGGGTCTAAGTGTGAGTGAGTCTGAGTGTGCTCAAGTCTGGGTGTGAGCGAGTCTGAGTATGAGCATGATGAGTGCGAGTCTGAGCATGAGTGAACCTGAGCACGAGCGAGTTTGAGCATAAACGAGTCTGAGACATCCTCGCAATTCTGGGCCCTCCGGGGGTGCGGAAAGCAGCGCCTCGCCATAGGCATCCTCCGAATCTGCTTCGACAGCAGACCAGTTCGACCACCAAAACGCGCAAACCGCTCGAGACATCCTCGACATCTGGCCCCCCTGGGTGCGAAAACCAGCGCCTCGCCTGAGGCATCCTCCGAATCTGCTCTGAAAGCGGAGGATGTTGGGGACCAAAACAGGCAAACCGCCTGAGACATCCCCACAATCTGGGCGCGAACGGAGGCCGTGCAATACCCCTGGCGGCCCCCCCTTAGGAGTGCTAAAACCAGCAAGCCGCCCAAGATATCCTCATCATCTGCTCATCGTCATCGTCATCGTTATCGTTATCGTTATCGTCATCGTCATCGTCATCGTCATCGTCATCATCACCATCACCATCACCATCACAATCACCATCACCATCACCATCACCATCACCATCACCATCACCACCACCACCACCACCACCACCATCATCATCATCAACATCATCATCATCATCATCATCATCATCATCATCATCATCATCATCATCATCATCATCATCATCATCATCATCATCATCATCATCATCGTCACACTCATCCATCATTCACTATCACCATCATACTCACATCATACTCTCACCATACCATGGTCATCATCACGACAATCATCATCATTGTCTCGTGCAGAGAGGGAGGAGGTGGTATGGGTGGCCCGGCGCGGTCGGAGAATAACAAGAACCCCATCCTTTGGATATGGGGAACAAGAGCCCCATCCTTAGGATTGTGGATGCCACGACAATGTACACTCTAACAATCCTATCATCGAATTTAACATGTGTTTAACATGTCGGAAACATGTCCTAAACATCTTTTAACTATGCTTCTTTGTTTACATGTCAAAACAGTTTTAACACATGTTCTAGACATCTGCGAATGATTGGGCAACATGCCTCCTCTCCACTCGCCATCGCTCGGACGTACATTCCATGTGTTTTTTTTCAGTTTCGTGCGGCGTGGATTTTTCGCCAAATGATCAAGGATGCTCCTCGATGGTCCTCGCCGACGGAAAAATGCACACGTCCGAGTGATGCCAAGTCCATTGATCGTCCTGCACAACCTTAGGATATGGGGAACATGCCCGCCTTAAAAAAACACCTGGAAGGGCTCGCCCTCGTGAGCCCCTCCCAAACCCCCTCCACGGGGTTGCTCGGGAGCTCCCGAACGAGGTGAACCCCACCCTCCCCCTTAGAAATCGTGGGGGGTAGGGGTAGGGTTCGCATGTGGCCCCCGATCGGAGGGTGCGAAAGAATTCTCCCCCAAGCCCCCCCGCGAATACTTTTCAAGGAAGGTTCTTGAACGGGTTAAGGGGGGTGCCCCCACGGGGAATGAATCCAAAATCCCCTAGGATGTGTTTTGTGTTTTTTCTTATGTTTCTTTTTTCTCCGGGGTTGACGGGTTTCCCCCGAGGAGCCCTCCAACAAACCTTATGGCGTTTTCGAATGGGTTCGGGGAAAGTTTCCCCCGGAAACATTAAAAAATGTGCCGCAAGGGAGGCCTTTGAGGGGGAAAGAGGGTTTTCCCTCAGACCCCCCTCCAACAACCTTTCTAAATGGGGAATTATTGGGCGGTTAAACTGGTTTCCTCTCCCAAACCTTCCAAACAAATCACCCCTTGCGGGGCTTTGGGTTGAAAGGGCTGTTCCCCCGGAATCCCCCCGAAAATCGCCCTTAAGGACAGTTTTTGGGGGGGTTCTGGGGTTCTTCACGAATGAATATAATTCCGACGGTAGGACCCCGCACGAGAATCTGTTTAGCTTGCCCCTTGTTTTTCCGCTTCGCCTTGGCGTGGAGGCCCTCCTCCCACCCTCTGTTGCGCCTCCTCCTCCTCCTCCTCCTCCTCCTTCTCCTCCTCCTCCTCCTCCTCCTCCTTCTCCTCCTCCTCCTTCTCCTCCTCCTCCTCCTCCTCCTCCTCCTCATCGCCATCCTTCTCATTGTCCTTCTCTCCTCCTCCTCCTCCTGCCTGTTCTCCCCATGAACATCCCCTGCCTCCTCGATAGGGCAAGTCGATGTTCTTCGGTGCCGATGCCACCGTGGCCAGCATGGGCGCGCTCTCCGATGGCCGGATCGCGAAGCCGTTGGGGGAGCCCCAATGGGAGGGGGCTCCCGCCTGAGACTTCCTCGCTTTCACTCACGAACGAGGCTCCCGCTTGATATTTCCTCCAAAATAAGCTTCGGGAGCCAAAAAGCGACGACAGTTACAAGTATAAGGATGACCCGTTCGGATTCAAAAAACATGAAGAGTGCGGAACCCACAGGGAGGGGGCTCCCGCCTGAGACCTCCTGGCAATTCTCCTACAGACGGGGTTCCCGCTTAATCTTTCCTTGTATTCGGGCCTGGGGAACCCAAGTGTTAACGACACTTGCAGGTTTTAGGATTACCCGCTCGGAGCAAAAACATAAGATGCGGGCGGGATCCACAGGGAGGGGGCTCCCGCCTGAGACTTCCTCGCAATTCCCTCACACACGAGGTTCCCGCTCGAGACTTCCTCCATATTCATGCCTGGGGAGCCCAAGCGCGACGACAAATACAAGTGTTAGGAGGGGGGCGTCCAAGAGGGGGAGAGCGCCAATCGTGGCCGGCGGCACCTGCGCGGCCCAAGGAGGGGGGGCCGGGGACGTATTAGAATGAGAGGCGCCTCGAAATCTGGGAGGACATCGTGGCCCCCGCCATGACATCCCCCCTCCTAGTCTTATGTTGTCCCCATCCCACTTACTCGCCATCGCTCGGACGTCCGTCCTCTGTATCTTTTTCGGTGTCGTGCGTGGCTTTTTCGCCACATGATCGAGGGTGCTCCTCGGTGGCCCTCGCCGAAGGAAAGATGCACACGTCCGAGCAATGCCAAGTGAAGTGGTGTCCAGGGGCAGATCCGCCACCGTGTCCCGAGGCACGAAGTGGAGTGTTCTGACTACCTACCAGACCACCCCAACCCAACCCGAAGACCCGAATTTGACCCCAATTTCGGGTTGGGGGGGGTACGGGTTCCATGTGTTTTGTCAACGTTCCCCGACCCCCCCCCACTGGAAATGGAGGGCGAATTGAGGCCTTCGGGTTGGGTTGGGGTGGTCTGGTAGGTGGTGAGATCCGCCACCGTGTCCCGAGGCACGAAGTGGAGTGTTCCTCAGGTCCTCCAGAATTCCCTGTGCCCTGTGTCCAATACTGCAAGTAAAGGCAAAATACAGAAAAAGAACGATTAAAACAAAATAAAAAAAAGAAAAAAAGAAAAAAAGATGTCCAATACTGCAAGTATTCCAGTTCGGGAGAAGGGGCCCCAGATCTCGAACCTCCTGGGCGCTCCTGGGTGCTCTGGGGCTTCCCCGCGGGATTCTTCACGACGGGCCAAGAGAGTCTCACGAAGTTCCCCAGAAGGCCCAGACAGCATCCAAAAAAAAGCCCGACGGCTTTGACTCGAGCACCCGGAAGAGTGCCGAGAGAGTGCCGAGACAGTGCCGGGGCGCGGGTGCCCCGCACGCCCGTCCCCCGCACGCCCGTCCCCCTTGTCGGCGCCGCTGGAGAGTGCAGCCTCCACGCGCGGCCTCGGTGAAGAGAGAAGCTGTGGCCTGCCGGGCGCGGGTGCCAAGGACAGGGGCCCACAAGCATACAGATCAATACACACAAGCAGCAGGATTCCCCACATTTTCCCGTATTTTCTGGGTGCTTGGACAGGCGCCCACTAACACACACAAATGAATATTGTCGGGCGCGGATGCCAAGTACAGGGGCCCACAAGCACCGCACAAACAGCAGGATTCCCCAGATTTCCCCATATTTTCTGGGTGCTCGTCTCCCCTCCCGCTTCCCATATCTTTCCTTATTTTCGGGGGAATCGACGATCAATTGTGCCTGCGTGTTCTTTTCTCTCCTGAAGTGCCCGTCGCGGGCACTGGGCAGAGGGCGCGACCGACATCGACGGGGCCGAAGGCGCAGAGAGCACCTGCGCTCGGCCGCAGAACCACGGTGCGGCACGACGCGATCGATCGGGTCTAGCCAATCACAACTTGCCGTCGCTCGGACGTCCATTTCCCGTGCATTGTTCGGTTTCGTTCGTGCTTTCTTTGCTCGATGGTCTAGGATGGTCCTCGGTCCTCGATGGTTCACGCCGAGAAAAAATGCACACGTCCGAGCGAGGCCAAAACAACGATCGAAGGCAGTGATGGTTCATCGATTTGAAACGGTGGCTCCTGGACGGCAGCCCTGCTTGGGCGTTGCTTCACGGGGGGCGATAAATGCTGAGTTGGGGGGAGGGGGGGGCAAACGTGCACCTTTCGTGCCCCACATGGGGGCCTCCATTGGCCTCACTGGGCTACAAAAAGTGCACCCTTCCTCGCCTCCCAAATTTATCGCCCCCCCCCTGCGCAACGCCTGGCCTGCGGCCGCTGCACCGTCTGCCGGCGCCGGCTCGTCGGGCAGGAGCGCGCTGGCCGGCCACCCCGCCCGCGTGGTCGGTTGCAACGTCCCATTTCGGACACCGCTGCCCGCGGCGCCGTGGCCGCCCACGCGCCCTGGCCGGCGTGGCCCGTCCAGCAAGCTCGCGGTGCCGCCGCCGCGCGCCTTCGGCGCCAGCATTGGCGCCGCCCCCCGCGTGGCCGCCCCTGGCTCGACCACTCCAGCGGGTGCCGCCTGCCAGGGAACAAGGAGCATGAACAGCAGCAGCAGCAGCAGCCATACACATATTGAAACAGGATGAGTGGGGAGGATCTACAACAGCATGTTTGAGGCGACGCCCCGAAACACATGCTCGAAATCGGGCAGCTAGCCATGGAACGGATTTGCTACGGGCCCCACGCAACACCAGATGGCACGACATGGCGCACACCACGCTGCGGCATGGCGCGGAGCTTGGCCACATCAACTCGGTTTTTGGCCACCGGCTCGAAATTTACGCGACGCAGTACAACGCGGCGCGGCACCTGTCCACCGAATTTAAGCCAGCGGCCGCGGGCAGGCACGACGACGCCACAACTCGCGACAGGGCGATGCTGGAGTTGGCGACTGCTCAGACGCCACCGCACGGCACAAACTACATAATCCGACCGCACGGCCACGAAGACACTTCTGCGATCCCCACATCACAGAACTGGGCAACCATACGACAAGCTCGTGTCGTGACATCTTCGGCGGTGGTTTATGGCATGGCGTGGATCGCTCAACCTTGAATGGTCGACGGCTATCCGATCGCCAGATCGTTCCACATTGGCCGATTCTGGGCCCGCGGCGGCGTTCAACATCGAACGCCTGCATCGAGGTCGCCGCCGCGTCGGCACGACACAAACCTACCGTACGTTGATCTGGCACGTGGGCGCCAGATCCACGGATCGGGGCGAAACGTGAAGCCAATGCCGCCTCATTTTGGCGACGGAGCGCGCCGATCGGGCCCAGGGGGGCGCCAACATGGACTTGGGCGTACGTGGATCTGGCGCGTGGGTGCGAGCTCCGCGCATCGGTGGGAGACGTGCAGCCACAGCGCCGCCTCCTCCGACTTTTTGGTCGCGGGCGGACGCGGATTCGCAGTCGCCGAACTGAGAGGTCCGGGCCACGGGCCTGTCAAATTAGCAAGCCTCCTCCGACGACGGAGCGCGCCCATGCGGTACGGACGCGGAGCCACCGACGAGACGCTCGACCAGCGCACTGCAGGGGCAAAACTGCGACGCCGCCGCCGCGGCCTGGCACGGGCTTCGCCGCCGCGCCCGAAGCCGCCGCCACACGAGCACAGCGCCGCAGGGCATCGCATGGGCGCCGTGCTGCGAGAGCCGCACTGCCCAGGCGACGCACTGGGCAGGGCGGCCCTGCGGCAGGCCTGCGGCCAAGCACGCTCCTCAAGGATTTCCCGTGGCCTCCCCCTGCGGGGTCCGCGTGCGGCATGCTCGCGTCGTGCCAACGTCGGCTTCGGTTCCTGAAGGCTCGGGCCGGCGAAGACGGGGCCCAGGACCCCCCGCAACGAAACGCTATTTGATACTCCTATCCTTATTCCTTATTAGAATATACTCCTACTCCCCCCTCAGGCCGGCAGATAGCGGCCGCATCCGGGTGGTCCCATCCTAACCTGTAAAAAACAATACAAAATCAATATTTTTCTGATTTTTTCCTCTCGATATGGACGTCCTGTCGTCCACGGCGATAATCCATTGCAAAAAATACAACAAAGAACACACGCGCGCGTTCATGTCAGAATCCTACCGAACACCGTGTGTTTGCAAGCATTTCAACATAACAACATCAAAAAACCCAATGCTTTTTCACAAAAATTGTACAAATTTCCCGCCCAGGCTCTCTTGCTGAAAACATAGGAAAACCATAGGAATCTTAAGAATTCTGTCAAATCCAGCGATTTCACGTCATCGCGCGGTGCACTCGCGATGCTCTGTCATGCACCCAGGCCGCGAATCCTGTGCAAAAAATACAACAAAGAGCACACTCGCGCGTTCATGTCAGAATCCTACCGAATACCGTGTTTCTGCAAGCATATCAACATAAAAACATCAAAAACCCAATGCTTTTTCACAAAAATGCTTTGGGGTGTCCTGTCAGACCGTCGGGCTTCCTCCGGCCACCTCTGGCTTCCTGCGGTGTACCGGGCCACTCTCGACTCGTCTGCAATGCGTGCGCGGCATTCAACACGCGCTCGCCAGTTCCCGTCGGCAACCGCCATCGCGGCCGCATCAGCTGTACCAAACCGGCTGGCCGATGTGACTTCGGCCCCCAGTTGTGCCAGCTTTGCTTCTTATGTTGTGGGAGGGCGGGTGGGACTGGGCATGCCATGCTTGACTCGCTCGAGCTGGCTAGCTTGACTCCTACTCCTACTCCTACTCCTACTCCTATCCTTATTAGAATATACTCCTACTCCCCCCTCAGGCCGGCAGATAGCGGGCGCATCCGGGTGGTCCCATCCTAACCTGTAAAAAACCAATACAAAATCAACATTTTTCTTATTTTTTCCTCTCGACATGGACGTCCTGTCGTCCACGGCGATAATCCATTGCAAAAAATACCACAAAGAGCACACGCGCGCGTTCATGTCAGAATCCTACCGAACACCGTGTGTATGCAAGCATTTCAACATAAAAACATCAAAAACCCAATGCTTTTTATCACTGACAAATTGAACAATTTTCCTGCCCTGGCTCTCTTGCCCGAAATCATGAGATTTGAGGGTAGCATCAAGAATAATGAACACATAGCATACGAAAACCATGGGAATCTTAAGAATTCGGTCAAATCCAGCGATTTCGCGTCATCGCGCGGTGCACTCGCGATGCTCTGTCATGCACCCAGGCCGCGAATCCTGTGCAAAAAATACCACGCGGGCGACATGCGCGCGCGTCGCCGCGAGCGCATGCTCAAATCCTTCTAGATTCGTCGCCGTCATTGGCACCGTCGCATGGACGTCCTGTCGTCCACGTCGCAAAATGCATAGCAGGAATGGGACGCGGCGCACACCCCGCGCCCGCCCATCCAATCCGTCCCATTCTAATCTGCAAAAGACAATACACAGTTTTTGTTACTACTACTACTACTACTACCACCACCACCACTACTACTACTACTACTACTACTACTACTACTACTACTACTACTACTACTACTACTACTACTACTACTACTACTACTACTACTACTACTAATACACTACTACTACTACTACTACTACTACTACTACTACTACTACTACTACTACTACTACTACGACTACTACTACTACTACTACTACTACTACAACTCCTACTACTACTACTACGACGACTACTACTACTACTACTACTACTACTACTACTACTACTACTACTACTACTACTACTACTACTAGTAAGTACTGCAAGTACATGTCATAGCACTTCTTTATTTACTTTACATACAGCACAACCCTACACTACCAACACCACTTGCTAGCACCAACGGTCTTACTTACACCTGGAACTCTTGTGGCCCTCTTGCCCCCTTTGGGGTGTCCTGTCAGACCGTCGGGCTTCCTCCGGCCACCTCTGGCTTCCTGCGGTGAACCAGGCCATTCTCGACTCGTCTGGCAATGCGTGCGCGGCATTCAACACGCGCTCGCCAGTTCCCGTCGGCAACCGCCATCGCGGCCGCATCAGCTGTACCAAACCGGCTGGCCGGTGTGACTTCGGCCCCCAGATGTGCCAGCTTTGCTTCTTATGTTGTGGGAGGGCGGGTGGGACTGGGCATGCCACGTGGCCATGCTTGACGCTCGCACCGTGTGGACGTATCTTGACTCGCAACTCCTGATCCTTATTCCTTATTAGAAGCTGCTGCCTACTCCTCCCCTCAGGCGCGGCCGATAGGGCCGCATCCGGGTGGTCCCATCCTAACGAGTAAAAAAACAATGAACCAAAATCAAACAGTTATCCTAGTTTTTTCTCTCGACAATTTCGTCCTGACTCCCCCGGCCATAATACCATTGCAAAAATACACCACAAGAGAGCACAACGCAAATAAGGCCGCGCGCGTTCATGTCAGAATCCAAACCGAACACCGTGTGTTTGCAAGCATTTCAACATAAAAACATCAAAAAACCCATGTTTTTTTCACAAAAATTGTACAAATTTCCCGCCCGGGCTCTCTTGCTGAAATCATAGGAAAACCATAGGAATCTTAAGAATTCGGTCAAATCCAGCGATTTCACGTCATCGCGCGGTGCACTCGCGATGCTCTGTCATGCACCCAGGCCGCGAAACCTGTGCAAAAAATACCACAAAGAGCACACTCGCGCGTTCATGTCAGAATCCTACCGAACACCGTGTGTTTGCAAGCATTTCAACATAAAAACATCAAAAACCCAATGCTTATTCACAAAAATGCTTTGGGGTGTCCTGTCAGACCGTCGGGCTTCCTCCGGCCACCTCTGGCTTCCTGCGGTGTACCGGGCCATTCTCGACTCGTCTGGCAATGCGTGCGCGGCGTTCAACACGCGCTCGCCAGTTCCCGTCGGCAACCGCCATCGCGGCCGCATCAGCTGTACCAAACCGGCAGGCCGGTGTGACTTCGGCCCCCAGTTGTGCCAGCTTTGCTTCTTATGTTGTGGGAGGGCGGGTGGGACTGGGCATGCCATGCTTGACTCGCTCGAGCTGGCTAGCTTGACTCGTACTCCTACTCCTACACCTACTCCTCCTCCTCCTCCTACTACTACTACTACTACTACTACTACTACTACTACTACTACTACTACTTCTACTACTACTACTACTGCCAGCTGTTGGCAGTCTGCCTGCTGCTACTACTACTACTACTACTGCTACTGCTACTATACTGCTACTTGCAACTAGCCAACTACTACTAACTGCTACTATTACTACTACAAACTACTACTACTACTACAACAACTACAACTACCACTACTACTAGCTAACTACTACTACTACTACTACTAACCACTACTACAACGAATACAACTAAAAATAAAAAATACGACTACTACTACTACTACTACTACTACGGCTCCTACGACTACTACTGCTGCTACCACTGCTACTACTACTACTACTACTACTACTACTACTACTACTACTACTACTACTACTACTACTACGACTACTACTACTACTACTACTACTACTACTACTACTACTACGACTACAACGACTACTACGACGACTACGACTACTACGACTACTACGACTACTACTACTACTACTACTACTACTACTACTACTACTACTACTACTACTAACTACTACTACTAACTACTACTACTAACTACTACTACTACTACTACTAACTACTACTACTACTACTACTAACCAAACTACAACTACTACTACTAACTACTACTCCTACTACTTAACGAACTTCGACTGGCGACTGCTAACCGCGACTGCGACTAACGAATAGACTACGACTAACGACTACGACTAACGACGACTACTACTAATACTACGCAGCTACTACAGCAACTACTGCTGCTACTACTGCTACAAAAACTACAACTACAACTACATCTACTACTTCATTCTACTACTACTACTACGACATACATACCAATCTACGCCAACTGCCAACTACTAACTACTACTACGACTGACTGACTACTACTACTACGACTAACGACTACAACCTACTACTACTACTACTACTACTACTAACTACTAGCTACTACTATCTACTACTTACTACTACAAACACTACAACTAACTACTACTATACCACTACCCGTCCTACAAAGACGACCCACCACAGTCCTCCTCCTCCTCCTCCTCCTCCTCCTCCGCCTCCTCCTTCCCCGCACACAGAACTCTCGTGTTTGCCCCGTGCTGGCCATGCGATTTAGCGTTTCCTGTGCATAAGTGCTTCTCTGAGCGCAGGTCGTTGCCGCCACGCTGCTCGAATGAACCAATCACCTCTTGGGCGAAGTAGCGTAGGGAGAATTGGCAAAAGAGAGGAGGACGGATACGGGAGAATGGGCGGAGGGACAATTGATGATAGCCATGGGGGCGAGGAGTGACGACGCATGAGGGCGTGGGAGGGAGAAGGGAGGAAGAAGGGAGGGAGAAGCGAGGAGACAGCCCGCGGAGTAGGGAGGGGGGCAGGATAGTGGAGGGGAGGGAAGAGGGAGAGTGGAGGAGGGAGGGCGGGAGGGAGGGAGGACGAGCGGGGAGACTTGGCCGACCATCCATAACTGGAGGAGCTGTGCTCCTTACCCTTCTGGGGAAACCCATCGTACCGTCGACCTCTTGAGGGGGATGTCGATGCCGATGGGCCCTTCAGGGGATCCCCCAGCTGTGGCTGGAAGGCGAGGCGCGAGGGGGAAGTGGCGAGGGACTAGAGGGAGGAAAGGCACGGGAAGGCCAGCATGCTCATATGTCTTGGCAAGGGGGCGAAGGACGGAGCCGAAAAAGGTAGAGCGGGCTGGGTGTGGGGGGGTGGGGTCGCTGTAGCAGGGTAGGGGGCGACGGGCAGCAGAGGAATGCCGCGGGAGCAACTAACCCGAAGGCAGGGGGGCCAGGCTGGGAGGCGAGCCGCCTTCCATGCCGCCCACGCGGCAAACAGCAGCACGCAGGCCAGCACGCCCTCCAGCAGTCCGCCGAGGCGCGGCGACATGCCCAGAGAGGCATCTCGAGCCGATGCGCAGCGCAAGGCCGACGCCCGCGCCCGCTCCTCCTCTGCCCAGTGCGCGCGAGACGGAGAGGGGAGAGGGGCCAGGCTTGCGAATGCCATGACAATGGACACTCCAAAAATCAGATTATTGAAGTAAAGCTGTGTTTCACATGTGTAAAACATGTTTCAAACATGTTCTTAACATAATCGAAAGATGTTTTAGACAGCTGGAAATTATTTGGCAGCACGCTCCCTCTCCATTGATCGACCTCCGCAAGGCCAGGCCGACGTCGACGCGCGCGGGGACAGACGCGGGCACAGACTTGGAGATCCTGCAAAGTCCCTCCCCCGAGACAGTCCTTGGCGCGCTCCCAGGCCCGGAAGCCGCCCCCCCCCGGAGAACAACACTCAAAACGACACAGAGACTCCCATGTCCGACGCCGAAAACAGTGCATTGCAAGCCTTGAAGAACCATTATCATGGCCACAGGAAGGACAAGGGACGGATCGACGACGAGGGAACCTACGATGTGTGCCATAGAAGGTATGGTCACACTATATTTGGCGCTAGCCCTATGTCGCGGCAATCAGTCAACGAAGCATCATGATGGGGCAAAAACCGAAGTGGCGCAAGCATTGGGGCCGATTGCGTCCGAAACGGAGAATCTGCACAGACCGACTCATTGGAGCACGCGTGCACGTACGAGATCGGCGCCGAGCACAATCTCTTACGACGAACACAAGATCCGCCATCGTGCCATGAACACGTAGTGGGGTGCCCTTCCGGGTTCCTACAAGTGCGCGCGGAGCACTACTGCGACTGCGACTGCGACCCGCATTGCGCACCCTGTAGGTGCCGCGGGTTGGGGCCGAAGCACCCATTACAGATTAGATCGCCTGACAGAAATCTTGCTCTAGATCGTGCCATGCATCTTGCTCTAGATCGCGCGGAGCACTGACTGGAGGATAGTAGGATTCCTCAAGACCCAGACCCTGGGTCTCACCAAACATCTCTGGGTCCTCCCGGGGTGCGACGCGCGAGCCAGCCCAAGCCTCAAACAATAAAACAAACGCGGTCGGCTCGTGTCAGAAGGATGCGCGATGAGGATGCAAGGGCCTTGGATGCCAATTTCGAAGCTCTTCGAGCGGGGCGTGGCCAACGAGAGTGGCCAAGAGTGGACCGAGGGGGCAAGGATGCATGGGTACCCTTGGGAATGCTGCCCATCCTCGTCATGCGGTTTGGCCTCAGAGAGTGCGCCAGCTCAAGTGGCTTGGACCTTCTCGCCCACGGCGACCCTCCGATGCTCAAGAAATTCCCCGGAGAACCCCCAGAAGGCACGCTGGAGGGATCGTAATCGGGCCAGTGATCTACCTCACGCAAAGTGAACGCGAACACTTCAGGAAGAACTGCGAACATTGGAATGTGGATGCCATGACAATGGCCACTCTAACAATCCTGTCACTGGATTCAATATGTGCTTAAAAAGTGTAGAACATGTTCTAAACATGTTTCAAACATGTGTTTACATATAACAAAAAAAACACGCTTGAAACGTTCTTTAGATATCTGCAATGTATTTCGCAGCACGCTTCCTCTCCATTAATCGACTTCCACAACGCACAGTAAACGCGAACACTTCAGGAAGAAGTGCGAACCTTGGCATGAAGCGAAGCTTTTAGAGCTCGAGCGGATCCTCGCGCTCCAAAGCCTGCCACGAGTCCTCGGCGAACTTCACCAGGGGGGCCACGAACTCCTGCACCAGCCGGTGGCCTCCAGACTTGGCCACGACCCAGGTGACCCTGCGATCGCCCAGGACGCCCCGGAAGGCCCTGGAGGTATGATCGAAGTCCACGACGCCATCGTCTCTCACAAGAAAATCGGGCCGGGCGAAAGGAGAAATAGCAAAGGGGGGGTTTGAGAATCAAGTCACGTAGCTAATTTTCCTGGCGCCTCCCGGCGCCGGGAGGCGCCCACGTATCAAGGAATGGGCCGCTCGGTGGGGCTGAGACCAGCTGCACGCAGCAGATTTCGTAGCCCCCCCTTTCCCTATCCCCCCCTTTCCTTCGGCCCGAGAAAAATGCCCAGCCCGCCCTGGATCCTGGGAAACAGCTCCTCCGCGGCCGCGGCGTGCAGCGCTGGCACCACCAGCGCCGCGGCGACCACCTCCTCGAGCTCGGCCGCGGCCTCCGCCGCGATGCGGGCGCCCCACGACTTTCCCATGACCACGGCCCTCGCCTTCACCACCGCCTGCTGGCCGTCGTTCGGACGTCCATTTCCCGTGCATTTGTCGGTTTCGTGCGTGTTTTTTGTTGCTCCATGGTCCAGGATGGTCTTCGACGTTTCTCGCCGAGAAAAAATGCACGCGTCCGAGCGATGCCAAGGCCTTGTAGCGGGAGGGCACCTGCTCGTTCTGGTGCAGCAGCGTGCCTCGCATGAGCTCGCGGAAGGCGTCCACCGTCAGCCTGCCTGGCCGCAGCTCCTCTGGGCCGGAGTGGAAGTCTGGCAGCAGCACGTGGAAGCCCGCGGCGGCTAACCGCAGGGCAACGGGGTTCCACTCCTCCCTGACGAGGTCGCTGTCCATCATGCCGTGCACCAGGACGACCAGGGGGTCGCTCGTCGACCCGAACTCGCGCAGCCGCATGGTTAGATAAACAACAAGCAGCATAAACATGATTTCTCGGAGATCCGCGCGGATTTCTTGAATCGACGCTGACCCCCGTCTCTGAGCGGCGCCAGAGTCGCTGCTGGGGGGGCCCAGCGCCGAAACGAGAAGTCCGCGCGGAGCTCCGAGAAATCATGCCTGTGCCGTTCTCTGTTCTTCGAATGGTCCCCAAGGGCGTCTCCAGGGGCTCCCAGGGCGGTACCGCGTCGTCCGCTGGCGCCTCCTCCTCTGGAGGCCTCTTAGATAGGGTTCGAGTATCGGATGAGGTTGGAGGACTGCACCGCTTCGCCGATGCATCGGCGATACATCGGCGGTGCATAGACGATGTCGGCGATGCATCGGCGATGTCGGCGTGGAGAAAGTCGGGGTTCACATCGAACCGCATCGACGATGAATCGCCGATGCGGCGCGAGCCTCCGACTCCATCTACTCCGATCCCACATGAGAGGCCTAGACCCTCAATCTGCGCACAA